AAAACTTATCAATTGTCAATCGTATAACTAAAGGAACTTGATCACATGAAAAGAACATACGACGGTTTGGACGACTTTTTGGTAAATACGGCAATGAACTAGCTAGGGACTGGATCCGTTGAGAAAATCTTCACCCGAGCATTATTAAATTATCGGATAAACTACTATATATTTCGGGTAGCCATATAATAAAAATTCTAGCTGGGTCCAATCCCTAGAATTAAGTTCTCTCATTATACCACTAAATATTCTTCGCGATTAATCATTTTAGTTCGAAGTCGCGCGTGAAATTAGCACATCGATTCCCACTGAATCTGCATCCACTTTGAACGTAATTTATTTTCCCCAATTGGGATACCTTGTCACTGTCCCGTTAAAACCAGAATGGAAGGATGAAGAAGATTTTAAAATTGATGGGTTGTATTATCAAGTATGTTGTTTTTATCTATTTTGAGTACTTACTAATTTGCTATTAATACGAAATCCCTCTGGATACTCTTTTAAATGCGTGATTAGTTCAGTACTGCCACTACTGTTTATTATAAAAATGACAAGATGAAAGGTATTATAATGTTAACTTTGAACACTACGTTGCTATGTTGTACTTGAAAGTCATTGTACTTATAACATAATAGAACTTGATGAATATTTGGGTGATATACATGGACTTATCGTTGGTAATGAATATATTAATTGATTCTTTAGAAAAATCCTCGATTAAACGTGTGAATATTCTTTATTTTATAGATCGTGAAATTGAAATAATGCAGAAGCTCCAAGACCGCATATTAGAATATGTTTCATTATTTCTAAACTCTAGTGCTGTTTGTGCTGAACTTGATTGGTAACAAATATTGATTATACACAGTCAACAATTTTGTGTTAAGAACTCCTGATTTTTGATACTATATTATTTAAAATGAAAGTATTTTGTCTTTTGCGGAATCAGCAAGACGTTATGGATATAATCGGCCTATTGTAACCGATGAAAATGTTTTGATAATTGAAAAAGGAAGGTAAAGAACGAATATGTTAAAATATTCTACGTAGTTTTTCTGAAATGGTAGCTTTTCTAAAATTGATGCTTTCCTGATTTCCTAAAATGTAAGGCACCCGCTGCAAGAACTTTGCATTAATGTTTTTGTCGCTAACGATACAAAACTTGTTGGAGGTAAAGGTATATTGGACGAAAGCGATGAAATGTACGAAGACTACCTTACCGATGAAAATGACACATACAACAGTGTCATGCTACTAAGCGGTGCTAATTATTCAGGCAAAAGTGTGTACTTGAAGCAAGTCGCGCTAATCGCTTATATGGCACATATTGGAAGGTAGATATTGGTCATTTTTAATGAGATATTTAAAAAAACAAACTGCAAAAATGTAAAATGGTTTATTTTACAAGTTTTGTGCCAGCAGAATCGGCCATTATTGGCCTAATTGATAAAATTTTTACTCGTATTCAGACTAAAGAGACAGTCTCGAAGGTAAAAAAGAAATATTTATCATTAATTTAAATAACATTCCAGTAGTTTATAACAAAAATATTTTAAAGGTTCAAAGTGCATTCATGATTGATCTTCAACAAATATCGGTTGCGCTTCGTAATTCGACTTCAAGGTCTTTATTGATCTTTGATGAATTCGGAAAAGGAACTGGTTCTACAGGTAGGCCAACACAATAATATTACACCACTCGCATACAACTAAATTACTTGGATTAATGGACCAAAATAAATAGACGGTGCAGGTTTATTTTGCGGTGTCATGGAACATCTATTAAAACGCGGTAGAGATTGCCCAAAAGTAGTTGCAGCGACACACTTTCATGGTTTTTATCATTTAAAATACAACTCTATTTACTGCTACCCAAGAACTCTGACAAAGAAGTGCTTGAATCTTTGCATTGCATATGATTTGCACAGAATTTTCAGAGTTACTGTAGTTATGTATTCACAGTCATTAATATGATTTAATAATTAATCAAGAAATTTTTGAGAATAATCTTCTTCCCCAAACTCTCCCGATTTCACTATTTACTATGGAAATCGTGAACGATGACAAAGATGAGGAATTGACTTTTTTATATCGGTGAATTATCTTTGATATTAAGAATCGGATTTCAGAATTTCGTTCTAATAATTCACATAAATTTTTGATCTCAGTCTTATATCCGGTCGAAGTACTTCGTCCTGGGGTACATTTTGTGCTACACTTGCCGGTGTCCCCCCCCTCATGTAGT